CAACTTTAAATGCAGGTATAATCTTTTAATTCTAAACAGCCTCGCAAATATAACTCACTAAATTGTTAAAAGGCCAATGATCGACGTTTTTTTAATATAGTAAAATGAGAACACACACAGTATGCAGTGGCGGATCTACCGGGGTTTCTTGGAGTACTTGTATAATATAAAAAAATCATTAACTTAGTCTAGCGATTTTAAAGTTTGACCCCCCCCCCCCCATAAAAAACCTGTATCCACCCCTGGTATGTGCACAGCATCCAGACAGCTGGGGACGACAAAGGAGCCAACTACATGTGTATAGAATTATCATAAATGCATGCCATCTCATTTGCTACAACAAGGGTAGTTTTTGATCAGTGTTGCATGGATTAAAAAATACGAAAACATGCGTGAAAGCCATGTAGGAGTTGAATTCGTACACGGTTCCCTGTCTACTTTCCGCTAAGTGTATAGTACTGGGAGGGACTCGACGTAACTAGCGTTGAAAAAAAACACTATAATATTGAAAATTACAAGGATGTCTTTCTCATACTAATACCCAACGCCGTTTGAATGTACTGGTATTTAAAAAAATATCGTGTCGTGTAGTATTTCGCGGGATTGAAATGTATTTTAATATTTTAAACATCATAGACACGTTATGAAATAAATGAAATAAGACAACCGCACCATTTTTGTCACTACGCGCTGGAAACCCCGATTTCTTATGTTGTCTTCAACTGGAAAAATCAGCTTAATTCGTAGTTAATATATGGCCGAAAAAAATATATACTGGTATATATATGTACTAGTACCTTACGTACTTTACCCACTGTGACATAGAGGGCGCTATTCGAGGAGTCGCGGCTTGCTCGAGAAATCCATGAAAAACGTCTTAATTATTCGTCTACATATTTCAATAGGATTCGAGTAACCGGAAGTTTCGTTTCATTTTCAGAAAGCACCGGTTGAAAAGAATATCCCATGGTGGCTGCGTAAATGACAAACACGCAAGGATACATAATATCTCATAATGAGAAAATACACTGACTTGTTACGTCACTTCCGGCGTTTTACCTGTTGTTGACGAGCATCGAACCATTCATTTATTCAATGTTTAGATATTACTGTAGTTGTGTAAATTTGTGCAAAATAATACTTTTCATTTTTAAGGCAAAATAACATGTAGTTAGATAAAGCCCTACTCAGAAAACCCGCCCATTTTTAACATGACAATTTTGTAAATACCGTCCAGATTACTGGCTTTGTAAAAAGACCGTATTCAAGTAAAATTTATTTTGGTTGAAAATAATTTCTTACTTTTTTTTAAAATTACTCCTTATACATGTAGTCGTAACAACCACGTAGTCACTTAAATTTATTTCGAATAAAAATAATTTCTTACTTTTTTTGAAATCACAGTTACTGCTTATACTCGTCATATAGTCATAGCAACGACATTGTTACCAGTTACCAGATCTTGTGTAAAATTGAGAAAATGTACTTTTATAAACGACATTAGTTATTCAAAGATTTTTTTCTCAAATAAAGTAGTATAGTTCACATAAAAGTGTGATGTATATGTCAGCGTTTATTTAGTTATGCTATAGAACGACGGAGGGTAATTGTTTTGGTAACGCTTGAGAGAGGGGAGTTGGAGTTGGCGTATGGTTTGAGGGTAAGTTTTATAAAACTTAAATATTTAATGAACTAACATGTATTTCATTTAACGACCTCTGTAAACAGTATAACTTACAATATTATCGTTTACTCCCACATCACTCGTTCACGTTAATCAACTTTATTCTACCTCTCTTTAAACTATGACTAACTTCTTACATTCTTCGTTTTGAAAACATGACGAATTATAAATATACAACATCAAAACATGTAAGGGCTTTGTTTATGTTTTCAAAAAGAAGCTATGTGAGATGGGTAAATTCTTGGTGGCGGATTACTAGTATTTCCATATCAAAACGTCGCATATCTGGTATCGGCCATAGCAACCGTTGTTATGCTAATGAGGAGGCTATTCATTCACCTCAAGGCGAGCCATCTGAAATGACATGCGCATGCGCCCTCTATCGCTGACATAATTTAATCTTGCATGCATAATTAATTTGTTACTAAGGTACGCCAACAACCTGTGTGTGTATTGAAATAAGGCCGTGTGTGGTATATGCTTTTACCAGAGTGTTCGTCACGGTTATTACCAAGCTTCTGGCCCTTGTTTTCTTTGGCTTAGCCGATTAAAATAAACAAATATGGACGAAGAAAACGAAAATAAACCAGAGGAACAACAGGAAGAAGGCCAAGAAAATGAAGAACAGCAAGAAAATGACGGGGGAAATGACAACACCTCGGAGCAAAAGGAGGCATGACACTTGTTTATTTTAAACCAGGTATATATTTACTCGGATTTTGTTTCGCTATGCATGTTGGTTACTGATCATGTTATTTCTCATTTTATAGGGAGAAAATGACAAAAAGAAGAAGAAAAAGAAGCCAAAAAAGCCACATCGTGGACCACCATCCCCGACACCTGAACAGTTACGAGAACTCGAACAGGGCTTCATTCTTGACAACATAGCGGTCAACTCCATATCAAAAGATTACTCCAACGTTCAGCCAAAACTTGGACCTGCTATTCCACCATATAATTCACAAAACGACAAACACGTCGATCAATACTTTAAATTTGAACAAGTGGAGAAAACGCTCAAAAAGACCGGGCAGGTAAGGGCGTCGTTGTTGTTTTTTACGGTGATCCGTAGACATATAGGTGGCACTGTTTAGAGGTAATTTAAGTCTAATGCCGCCTATACATGCGACGTAGTTGCACGATCGCACGAGTTAACACCCCATTGTATATACAATGCCTGTCGTTATAAGTGTAAATCGTTAACTCAGATTTTTTAGCAGTGAATGGCAGGAATTTTCATATTGCACTTGGAGGCTTTAGTTTTTTGTAACGGGTTCATTTGAAAAAATATTTTATAGTATACAAACGTATAGCAACGAGCCTGAGAAACGTGTGAACAAAAGACCAGTTTATCACGCTAGTCTGGTCTGACCATATCGCTAGTTGCTTTATTTGAACGCAGCTCGTGTTAGATTCCACCAATTACGTATAATTCATATTATAAATGTTTTTTCCCCGAAATTATGAATAGTAAAATTTGTGACGTCTTCCGGTAATATGGCTGCCTACAGGTTGAAGTCCGGTTGTTATGCTAATTCCTTGAGGTCAGACCCCTTACTGAATGTCGTCATCGTTACTCTTAATTGCCGCTATTGTTAAATCGTGGTTACATATTTTGAGTTAATCAATAATTTGACCGAAGTCAGTTATTTTCCTAGGTAAACGAGACAATAACATTCCACTACAAAAGAAAATGTCCCCAGCAATCAGTAATAAAAATATAATTTTTGACAACATATTGATTTAAAGGTTTGGCAATGTATTGAAATGCATTTCCATTTAAATTGGACAGACCTGACTGAATTGTGATACGAGTTTTCTTGATTAGCCCTCATAAATATATACTTTATATCTGATTTGTACTTAAAGGCCGGTGGCCTATGTACTTGAATAAACTTATTATTTAAATTGGACAGAGACCCAATAAATGTTATCACCTAGAACAAATTGAAAATATTATGTTAATTTTTGTCACTTTCTTGCTGAGATTTATATTTGTGTTCAACTCACACAGATTGAAGGCTCTTCTATCGATGGCCCAGTTATAGATAGATTTATTGACTCAGGTGCAGGCTACAGGTATTTATCTAGGCGTAATGCTGCAGGAGCAGGTATGATATCTATTTAACATTTTAACAACACAAGTCAATTTTTTTTTCTTGACATGTTTTTATGTATTTTTCAATCATTTCATAGTTTTGAATTGAATAATTTTCTATTGCCTAAAGCTCTTGATCAAATTACTGTGAAATACTTTATTTCAGCTGGAATTTATTTTTGCTGAAAAGACATCTTGGATGTTTTGTATGAAATTTATTTTCTCTGATTTTTGATGAGTTGAATGTTAAATATAGGAAAAAAGGTATATTCGCTGAATTTTATTTTTACTAAATCATTCCTTCAGCAAAAATAGCGAAAATTAATTCCAAGCGAAAATAATTTAAAAGTATTTTACAGTAAAAAAAGAGAGATAACAAATGTAAACAAATATACATACATGCTGATCATATAATTTGCATATGAAAGAGACGTTAACTGATTTTTTGCAATAATTAATTTGGAATGTAAAAATAATCTTTACATAATAATGTTTTTTCAGTAGTGTTTGTCATGGTTACAAGATCTTGCTGAAAATATAATTAACATTGTACATCATGTAAAACTGATCTAATGCCTGTCGATGTATAAAGCAAACGCAATGATTTATCTCACTAAGGCTTTTTAATTATTTGCTGTGAATCCGTTTAGGTTTATTTCCTGAACAAAGAAAGGCCAAGAAAAATTATTTTTTCAACACAGCAACAACTAAACAATAAAAAGTTATTGATTATATTCTCATGAAAATAATATCTTTTCAGATAACTTTAAAAAAATTACTTTCGTCATATACAAAAATATGAATACACAATATTACCTGAGAGTAGCCAATCATGTTTAACCTACAGATTTGTATGAACTCACGATAGACTTCCAGTTGAAAAGTGTTAAATCATAAGTTTGCAGTCAGGAATATTTCTAGGATGTAATCACCTAAATTTCGGGTAACACCATTGACCTTTTTAAATATTGGCTTAAATCAATAACATAATTAACATTAGATTAACGATCATTTCCTAATTTCATTGCAGGTCATTCAACAAATGAAGTGGACGGTCATGCACAGTTTATGCAAGGGGTGCAGCCCATCTTTGGATGGCATGGCCAGTTCGGATTTCGACGGAATACCCCACCACTCAGAAACAACCCATCATGCTTTGGGACCGATGTACGATCACCGACCCATTGAATCTTGGGAGCACTTCTGCGTGAGTCCCACATCCATCAATTTAATCATTTGTCTGCATGGTTACACGCATTGCACAGTTTCCATAGCAATGACCTAATAAGTGATTCGGCTGATGGGTGTGCGGGTACTCTTTTTGCATCCGATCAAGCTGTCTCTCGTATCACAATTTGGGTATGGCTCCTGATTTCCTTCTGTAAGGGGGTCTTGGGTCTTGAGGGACAGCTGTCGTCAGTGACCATATGGATATTACTCACCATGTTTCCATCTGCCACATGTGAGCAATCAGAAACATGGTAAGTGAACATCTCATAACTCCTGGAAGGGTGGGGGGTAAAGCTGTGGATCTTCAAGTAAAGACGCAGAATTGGAAAGTTCAACAACATGCCGATACTTCGCAATTCAAGAACAATGCTTAGACAGTTTTTTTAAAACAAGAAATAATGTATTAGTGAGGTATGGTGCTTGTGGAAAACAAGTCAATGTAACAATATACATTTACATGTTATTCGAGGGATGTTTTTTTCTTCTCAAATGTATTCATTATGGTATTTAATATAGAATAGTAGATTAGAGACTGACTTAGATTAGTTGAGTATATACGCCTTAACAGAAAATAGGCTGCTAATAAAACATGCATAAAATACTACTACTGCATGAATCAATTCAATGTTTTGTCAAGATCTTGTGTCAAAACTTCAGTGAACATGTGCAGCGACTAAAACGTACCCAGCATGCACCTTGATATAGTACAGTTAAGTTTTTAAAATAAACTGGATATCACATATCTGCTATCTACTTTCTAAATCTTCGCAAAAGCTACTTTTAAATCGTGTGTGTGCTAATTTTTGTCTGGACAATAATATTAGATATATTTGGCGCCAAACTTAATATTCAAATACATTACCCACAAACCGTCCATGTTGCATGTATTATGCATTTTGAAAGCCAATGATCATGTCAACACAGTGTAATAGTTTGAATGTAATTTCATAATAAATGGTACAAAAATAAGAGCTATATTGTGTCAGTGTGTTCGGATATGTCTTGCGTTTATGCAGTTCTCACAAACCAAATAGTCTATTTCAGTTTACCAAGGTAGGAATTTAACTCCAAACATAGGACCTAAACCAATAATGACACTACCATGTACTGTATTTAACAACAATTTCATTTACCATATTTGCTTTATTAGAACCTTGCGTAAACCAAAAAATTGTATACATTGAAAAGTGGATTATTTGAAATGTTTTTTCCCATGGACTAATCTCTGCCTGTATGTACTTCTCGTAAAGCACAAGTGATACTGTATCATTACATGACACTTATTTAAAGGGAGATAGTCTCTGCGCTGCGCATGTGTGTTGATAAACATTGATTTTCCCACAATCCAATGCGCCCTTCTAATATAAATCACAAATATGAAGTTTGACCTGGGTGCGACAGTAATTACCGCTGGTGGTTCCTTTGATACCATTCAATCACCTGAAAATTCCTAATTCCGTCTCAGTTTGTACTCGTTTATCTGTGCAACAGTCAAAGTCACCATCTTTTTTTATATGAGACCCATATATCTTGCACATGCGTGGCGTGACGACTACTGCCCTTTAAACACTTATTTATGTATGAGCATACATTACTAATAGAGCAAATACAATATTTCGATATGGTACTGCACATGTGTAAATACAAGACAACCATTATCCAGCCATTAATACTGGTTGACCCCTTGAATGCCAATATCAGCCTCTCACAACACTAAAACCTCCATATCCCCCCCCCCCAAATTTATAATGGTCTATTGCAAAATCTTTCTGTTCTAAAACTAATAAAAAAATAAATAATAATGGGCACCAACATTTTGATGGAACAATTATGCTAAAATGCTGTTGTGGATTAAAGTACTCTTTGTGATATCCTATTTGAGAAAAATCAATCTTCCACTCAAACAAATTTAAAATGGCTAGACATTGAAATGTACAGCCGACATGGCTGACAAAGAAAGTGACCACAATGCTGACTGGGTGGGTGGGACCTCTTAAATTTGAATGATCAATGGAATTCATTACACATCTCATTGCCAGCTACTTACAAATAAGTTGAAGATAATAGCATAGCATCATAAGATAACGCATTTATAAAGGACGGGGTGAAATATTCTATTTGCGCCATTAGCAATGCGATCAATGTTAACCATAACCACCAATTTACTCAATGCTTAAATATTTATTTGAAAATCTGACTCCACGTCTAAAGAACCATTCTAAAATTTTCATTGTAGCAAATTTAGTGTCTTATAACTTCCATTTCATATATGTCTAAAATTTGGTTAGTTCCAAAATTATAGCATATTTTTTGCCAATAATAGTGAATTAAATATATCGGCATGAAATAAACAAATCTGACAGAGGTCCATGGAGGGTACCTTCATACCAAGTATTAAAGCAATTGAGCTGGTAGTCTTCACGAAGAAGTTGAAAATAGCATTTTTTTGCCAAAAGTAGAGAATTTAAGATATCATTACGAAATGAAGAAATCTGACATACCAAGTATCAAAGCAATTGAGCTGGTAGTTTTCAAGAAAACGACAATGCAGTTGTTAATGAAGATGACAATGGAACTAATAAAAAGGGGGAGGGGTTAACTTATGGCCACAAATAAATTCTATACGAATGGCAACCTTATTTCTTGTCATACTAATGGGACAGTAGATGAAAAAGATGCGGTGTTTGAATTTCATGTAAACAATGTACTTTACATGCGTTGTATACGTAGCTATGAGTCCCATATCGAACAGGATCTTTTAAATAATATACTACCTGTGTTACATGATGACCGTTTCAACAGATACATTACAAAGGAAAGGTACACTCACAAACTACAATCGTCCGAATCGCACGGTTTCGCTAAGGCTGAGGC